ATTTTCAGGAAGGCATTAGTGAATTCTCCTCACTTGTGTGGTGATGTCCCAACCGTCCTCCAGGCTGAGCAAAACCGATGAGCCGCTGTCCAGAAGCTCCACCAGGAACAGGGCCAGCTGCAGGATCTTGTGTAGCTGTTGAAGGGCGGCACATGTGCATGTGAACAAACAGGACACACAGAAACCAGCGGATACACACCATTAAACCCATTCTGAATATATGACCACGTTTGGTCTGCTTGTAAATCATTTGCCCAGCATAGCTTGTTTTCCCACAAACAGCATTTATTTCTTCCGCACGTGCCCGCTGCAAGGGGCCAATCAGATAACCAGCATGTTCTGATCCCATCGTTAGAATGCGTTTCCCTTGGGAAGATGGCTTTAGAAGGGATTAATTCACATAATTTATCCATGATGTGAATCTAATATGTAGGATGAGAAGAAAGAGAGGACCGCTGAGTCATTCCCACAGACCTGGGTCTGGAATGCAAGTCAGCCTTTGACTAGAGGGCCAGAGTGAAGGACAGTAGATGCTTTGTTATAAACACGTGAGCGTTAAGAAAGCTGCCATAAAATCCTAGTGAGACTTCCAGCAAGTTCATAGCTTTAAATAAGTGATAAAATGAAGGTGCTGGTTGTTGATTTACCTGAAGGATCCACTCAGAGTCCTCCAAAGCTTTAAGAAAGGAGTCCTCAGAGTCTGATGGGGGGGCACTGGGAGCACAGGCCCTCAGCAGCTTCTTAAAGGCCCCTTTCACCTGCCGCGTGTCTGCAAAATCCACCGGCACCAGCTCGCAGTTCAAAGACGAGTCCAGTCTGAGGCCCTGCAGGATATGACGACCCAAATATAGCGAGCAACAGAACACACTCGACCAGAGACGTTTGGCTTTTGTAAATTTAGTTTTTACTCAATGATCAAAAAAAATTATTTATTTCCCCTAAAAATTAAAGACTTTCCAATTTGTAAAAATGTGACAATATGAGAAATTTTCTCAGACCCCCCCCCCCGAACCCCCCCATACTTTTTTAAACTCTATAAGGATTTTCTTCATATAATAGATATAAATAACATTTTTAATGCAAAAAAACCCATAATAACAACAAAACTTTCACTATTATTAATATAAAGACTAAAACATTTGAAAATCCACAAACATGTTTTGCTTAAAACTCATCTGTGTTGCAGCATCATTAATACTGCTACTGATAATAAAAATAAACTATTTCAGGTTCCATTAAAATGAAATGTAAATAGTATTTTGTCCTATCACTTAAACTTGCTAACACACGTTGTTTTGTAGATGCACACACTTTTATAAGTATTACTGTTTAGATTCTGTCACAGACTCCATGTTTTAAAAATCCTAATAATCACGCATTAAAATGACATTTAAATCTGTCGTATCAGAAAATTTTACATTACAAGAAGATGTTTTTGTTTCACTGGCCACAAAAGCAGCCCATTCTCACCCTTAAATGAGACTTTTCTCCAAAGACGTAGAGGGCGGCCTGACGTTTGAGGAGCTGAGCCTGCAGACTGTTGCTCCCTGCAGGGGGCGCCAGATCCTTCCCTGCTAATCTGGCACCCACATCCCCCAGCGGCTGGTGCTGACTGAGGCGGCTGCTCGAGCGTAAGCTGGCCCACACGCCTGGAAAACATACATTCACAAAAAAAAAAGCGTTAGCCGCACACGCAGAAGCCGGCCTGTTTGGATGCCGCGGACGTACGGCGACAGGCTGTCAAATAAACCGAGAGGGAGTAATGAACTACACGTGACATGCACACTAACATTCACATGCACAGCAGCTTCATGTAAACACCTTCGCGTGGTGATATTAGAAGCAGAAGGTGGGGGAATTTATGGCAGCAGCTACCAGCATTTAGGCTTGTTAAAAACTACAAATATGGATATTAAACGTATCAATGGGTCACCTGTATCTACAACTGATAAACCAACATGCCTGCTGACATCAAGCAACACAATCCTTCTGCATCAACTGCTGACTTGGATGCAGATTTGTCATCTTATTTGAGGCATCTTGTCTGCGCTGCAGGATCGCAGGAGGTTCATTTAGTCTGACTCATGATGTGTGTGTCATGACAAATGGTTTCCTTCCCTCCTCGCCCTGGACGCAGCTCAAAAGTGACCACAGCCTTGCTGAGCCAACACAGCAACAATGGAGGAGACCACATTAGAGCAGCCAATCTGGTCTGTGGGAAGCCACAGCTCCCAGAGGAGCAGCCACGAAGTCAGCCATGATTAGAACGGAGTTCCACAAAGTCTTTGTATGGGGTTTGAAGCGCGGTGACCTGGTTAGTGAGCGTTTTGTGTGGGTTAGAGGAAGCAGAGAGGCCGGGGCTCGATGGGTTTGTGAGAAGAGGAAAGAGCAGAGGAGAACGACAGCTCAACTATACCTGGATGGAGGACTCGCTCCTTACTGGCAGGTTTTGGGTTTGAGTGAGTAAAAAGTTTATCTTTGTACTCAAGCACTGGTTGGTTGGTTGGCAAAGGAGAGAGGATGAAGGCAGAATTAAAGTCACACTGATGATCATCAAAAGAGACATAAAAACTCTGGAACAATCATGCAAATCTGGAGTAACAGCTGAATGTCAACATGTTCCGGCTCATGTTTAGGTGATCAGGGATGATGATCATGCATGAGTTGATTGACCATGGTTATGAGTGCAGGTGGAGATGTTTCCCTCCAGAAGCAGGTGCTCCATGAACAGCAACCAGAAAATATGTCAATACATTATCTAGCAGAGACCCTAGCGTTCCACCAGATGCATAAGCGGCGCGTAACATAAGTCGTGTTTTCCCCAAAAGCTCAGTGGCCTGTCCCCTCCCACCGAGAGCATTTCAGGCGCGAATAGGCAGCGAATGCATTCCTCGAGATCCCAAAGTTTCTAGGGAATTGCAACATCCCGTGTGATTTCGCCAGTTCACACGATATCAAACATCGAGGAAAACAGCAGCATGTTTCCCAAAAGGTCTGTGCTTTCTTTTTTCTGCTTTATACATCGGCCACGGAAGTGTTACAGGAAGTGTCACAGGAAGTGTCAAAGGTAAAACTGTTTTGGCAACAGGAAATCTACGCGAGCTTTATTCTGAAAGTTCCCGGATGCCTTACTCTGCTCCAGTGTTCAACTTCCTGTCTGGCCCAGTCTGAGCTTCAGATTTTTTTACGTGCTGTGAAAGTTTATAGCAGGAATGAATGAATGAATGAATGAATGAATGAATGAATAAGTGACCTGCAGTTAATGCTTTTCTAAGTCAGAGGACTCCAAAGTGCTTTACACGACAGTCAGTCTTTCACCCATTCACACACTGATGGTGATGAGCTACACTGGAGCCACAGCTGTCCTGGAGTACCACCAGTCCCTTTGACCAAACAGTTCGGTTCACCACCAAACAGACTCAAAGAGTAAATTTAGCGGTGCGATACGACACCACGCTTCTGGGCTGCATCGGAGATGTGCCGCTTCATGCCTGGTGGAAACACACCTAATGACTAAAGTACTCAGCATAAATGAGTACACCGCACTACATTCTTCAGAAAACCTTTAGTTCCCTTTCAGAATCAATATTTTCTATGAGAAACCATACTACAAGACTCCCACAAGCTATGCAGGCCATTGATTCCAAACAAGATTTGTTCATTTGCACACAAAAAAGTCATTTTCCTAACAAATCCATTCAAGCCCATGTTGCTAAAAGGAGTACACCCCAGTTATAGTCTTAGGAGAAAAGCCACACTTAAGACTATAACATCTGAATTTCCAGCCACTCAACCACAGGTGAGTCGAATGATTCATTTAGGAGGTGTTTAGCAGGCAAGTGACTATAACAGGGCCTTTCTTAAAACTTCTTTCCGGAGTATTTCTCTTATCCGATGGCACCATCTAGTGGCTGACGAGCGTATCACACAAAAAATCTGTTGCTCTATTTGTTTAAGACGGCCACTTCACGTTTCTGTTTATAAATGTGCTTCTGTAGCCGAAAAACGGAGCTAAAACACGTTGTTTTACGAGTATTATTCTCATGTCATGTTGTGTTCTCATATATTTATATTTTAGAGAAAAGTTAATCAACTCTGCATCAGCTGAGGTATTCCTTAAATTTGAAGCATCTAAGCGGTAGTCTAACACTATTGGTTAGTTCTGGTCAGCGCTCAGTTTCCTATTGCACGAAGCTCTGTGGGGCAAGGGGCATGCTTATCAAAAAAATAAATAAAATAATAACGTATCACTTACATTTTATCATAGTACATGATGAGACAATCGCTTTTACGGATTTCTGAAAAATCACACAACATTTCTGAAAGGGGAAAACTCCAGAAAGCAGCTTTGACAAAGAAAAGTTGGTGCTGTCCTATGAAAATCACGGTGGTCATACAAAATACTAGATGTTGTAGTTTTTTTTGCGGGGTGCATTCATTTTTGCGTCAACCACAGATGTTACGCTTCACAGACGTTACGCTTTGTGGAAGTTACGCTTTGCAGACGTTACACTTTGTGGAAGTTACTCTTTGTGGAAGTTATGCTTCACAGACGTCACACTTTGTGGATGTTATGCTTCGCAGACGTTACACTTTGTGGATGTTACACTTAGTGGATGTTACGCTTCACAGACGTTACACTTTGTGGATGTTACACTTAGTGGATGTTACGCTTCACAGACGTTACACTTTGCGGATGTTACACTTTGTGGATGTAACGCTTTGTGGAAGTTACGCTTCACAGACGTTACACTTTGTGGATGTTATGCTTTGTGGAAGTTACGCTTCGCAGACGTTACACTTTGCGGACGTTACACTTTGTGGATGTTACGCTTTGTGGACGTTACGCTTTGAGGATGTTACACTTTGTGGATGTTACTCTTTGTGGAAGTTACGCTTCACAGACGTCACACTTTGTGGATGTTATGCTTCACAGACGTTACACTTTGTGGATGTTACACTTAGTGGATGTTACGCTTCACAGACGTTACACTTTGCGGATGTTACACTTTGTGGATGTAACGCTTTGTGGAAGTTACGCTTCACAGACGTTACACTTTGTGGATGTTATGCTTTGTGGAAGTTACGCTTCGCAGACGTTACACTTTGCGGACGTTACACTTTGTGGATGTTACGCTTTGTGGACGTTACGCTTTGCTGACGTTACGCTTTGTGGATGTTACTCTTTGAGGAAGTTACGCTTTGTGAAAGTTCCGCTTCGCAGACGTTACACTTTGTGGATGTTATGCTTTGTGGAAGTTACGCTTCGCAGACGTTACACTTTGTGGATGTTATGCTTTGTGGAAGTTACGCTTCGCAGATGTTACACTTTGTGGATGTTATGCTTTGTGGAAGTTACGCTTCGCAGACGTTACACTTTGCGGACGTTACACTTTGCGGACGTTACACTTTGTGGATGTTACGCTTTGTGGACGTTACGCTTTGAGGATGTTACACTTTGTGGATGTTACTCTTTGTGGAAGTTACGCTTCACAGACGTCACACTTTGTGGATGTTATGCTTCACAGACGTTACACTTTGTGGATGTTACACTTAGTGGATGTTACGCTTCACAGACGTTACACTTTGCGGATGTTACACTTTGTGGATGTAATGCTTTGTGGAAGTTACGCTTCACAGACGTTACACTTTGTGGATGTTATGCTTTGTGGAAGTTACGCTTCGCAGACGTTACACTTTGCGGACGTTACACTTTGCGGACGTTACACTTTGTGGATGTTACGCTTTGTGGACGTTACGCTTTGTGGACGTTACGCTTTGCTGACGTTACGCTTTGTGGATGTTACTCTTTGAGGAAGTTACGCTTTGTGAAAGTTCCGCTTCGCAGACGTTACACTTTGTGGATGTTATGCTTTGTGGAAGTTACGCTTCGCAGACGTTACACTTTGTGGATGTTATGCTTTGTGGAAGTTACGCTTCGCAGATGTTACACTTTGTGGATGTTATGCTTTGTGAAAGTTACGCTTCGCAGATGTTATGTGTTGCGGGTGTTATGATTTGTGGTCACTATGCTTTTTAGTCGTTAAGCTTATCAGCCGTTACGCTTTGCCGACGTTATGCTTTATGAATGTCAAGCTTTGTGAATGAATATGCATCCAGTGGAAAGCTGGGATTAAGGGTTTCCAGATTGAAATGTAGGCATGAAAATATACTGTAAAAAAGATAAACTGCAAGAAGGATTGTAGTGAATAAAATCACATTCAGCAAGATTCTATTTGTGCCAACAAACAAAATATAAACAGTTGTATCAAATCAGTGCGTTTCTGCAATATTTTAACATCTTTCTACTAAATCAAGACTAGAAAAACACAACATTGCATTTCCTCATAAATAGGGGCTGTTATTGATCAAGAGCACTGCAGATTAGTGCATAAAAAGTAGTGAAAAACAAAACTGGCTGATGTTTCATCCTGTTTGGTTTACTAAAACACGCTGGGTCAGTCTGAACAATGCTTCTTGCCCTTGCCCTCTGAAGCGATGACTAACAGCTCAGATATGCGCTGAAGCAAAAACACAGCATAAAGTTCTTAGATTTCTTTTTTTAAAGAGTTCACATTCCAACATAAACAGTCACAGGGATGTATCAACTTAACCGTACATAAAGTTCTCATACGGAGACTGACGCTACATCGGTGTCAAAAGTGTCAGGACACAACGGAAACAGGATGATTAGTGATCCTTCTAAGAAAAAATGTTAGTGAATGTTCTGATTTTATAAAAAAAAAATAAAGAGATAAATCTCTAAATCAAGAAAACAACAGCCCGAGGCATTTAGATCAGACACAAACAAATAGTTGAACTTTGGTTTTATTTTTCTACTCGATGTAAAATCTTGATATTAATATTTTCTCCCTAAATGTGATCCTCTCCAGTAAATATGAGATATGGATTACCGTGTGTAAAATGGCATTTTTTACATTTAGCTGTGTTCTCTTTAAAAAAAAAGGATGATTATGAGCCTCGATTCTGTGTGTTCACATTTCACAGCAGGAGCTCACACGTGTTTAACATTGCGGGGTAACAAACTCACCTCCTCTCGTGAAGCTGTTCGAGAACGGGATGTCTAGATGGACGGGAGCCATCTTTGATATCTTCGATGTCTTTCGTTCACTGCCTGGAGGTAAAACATTGGCACAGCACAGTTAAAACTAGCGTCACGTAGCATCTATGGAGTCCTGGCGTCAGGGTTTAATGGGAACTGGGATTTCAGCACATGGCTGATTTCGTCACGCTAAGAATCTATTTTAATTTAAAGATGACAGCTGAATGAAGAGTTTTTTTGTGCGGTAATAGTTCATTTTTGTTCAGGATGAAGAAACGGGTGGGTGGAAATCAGGGGAGACAAATGAACCGAGCAGAGACCCCGACTGTCGTGATTCTGACATAACCTTTTATTGTACAAACTCCCCTTTAAATCACACACACACACACACACACACACACACACACACACACACACACACACACACACACACACACACACACACACACACACACACACACTGAGATAAGCAGGTGAACTGTAGCCGCTCAGCAGTGGAAACACAAAGGAGAAGAGAACGACGAAGAAAAAAACAGAAGCAGCAGAAAACAGAAATAACTCTAAAGGCTGCAAGTGTGCACTTTTATTTTTCTTTATCGGAATAAATGAACTCCAAGTGGCCTCATGGCCTTTTCTAAACAAACAATGCCTTTTTCCCACGACACGGCTAAGTCCTCCCCTCTAAATCAGGTCAGGTAGGGGCAGCAGCAGAGGAGGCAACTCTGCACTCAGATCAACGGCTAAACACAGCTTTCCTTTTACTTTATTATCCAACGTGCAGATACGAGACGATCACTGAGGCAAAGACACTCACAGCGACCCTAAACTGAAAACGATGCCTCAGCTACTAACACACACACACACACGCACACGCACACGCACGCACGCACACCCCGTTCAGGTGATAAAAATACAAGCCAAATATTTTTCATGGAAATTTCATTAACCAACCAATGTTTACAGATCACTCATTTAGCAATGAATGATTTCCAGACTTTTCTAGTTTTGTTATAAGGACTTTAGCAGGTGCTGGCTCCATGTTTACCTCCAAAGCAAAAATCAAAATACAGATTAGTAAAGTAGGATGTATTGGTGATTTATTATGATTTCAGGTTAATATAAAAAAGGCGTTTCTGAGAGAGGTTCGGTTCACATCAGGAGAACAAAGAGTTTACACGTGTTTGCTTTAAATGACCCTTTCTCATGCCCCTTTCAGCCATTAACGTTGGCTGATAAGATTACTGGCTGCCTTCCACTGGCTACTGTACAAACAGGCCTGCTGGCAGGACTTTGTGAGAAAATACGTTATTCATAACCATAAATACAACATCTAAATTTCACACTATAAAGAAGAAATTCATTCATTTATTTAATGTTATTTTTCATGCATTTGAAGTGGACTACAGTGGGAATGAACACCTTGCAAGTCACACTCTGGGGGAAAAGCCCCAGTGCGCCTGTTTCAGCATGATGACTTCAGCCAGAGGAGAAAGTAGCTTCTCTGATTGGCTAACAGCAACACAACTCTACCACTGACTCTATTTGCTCTGCAACGTTGATGCTTCATCATCTCCACAAATAACACAAGGCTGGAGGATTTCTGCTGTGTGGTGGAGTTGCTAATGCTAACGGTTATCTTGTACTAGTCGAGATGTTCTTTGCCGTTTCTTGAATGCTAAACTAACAACAGCCTTTCCCGTCGTGAGCCAAGGTAGGTGAGTCCATGAATGTTAAGTGAGAGGGTGATGTAGATCTCTCAGGCTTTTCACATCCTAGAGTCTCACCATCTATTTTCTATCAGAAGCTAATGCAGGAGATAGGTGTAGGAGACCATTTTCATGCTCAGCCTGCATGAGAAACTAAAGAGTGACCGATTATAATCAGAAATAATCATTAAAAAATGATCTCTCAGTGAAGTTCCTCTTTAAGTTGCTTAACTTAAGAGGAACTTGGGTTTTAGTGGTTCATCAAGAATGTCACTCGTGTCAGATGAGTTCATTTAAACTCTAATGGCGGCACAAAAGGAATAAAGGGAGGTTTACCTGGCGAGAGGCCGATGAGTGAGCGATTGGACAGCGTGTTGGTCCCGTTTGTTTTAAAGTAGACGGGGATGGAGTCCAGAATCGCCTGCAGGTACTTCTCCTGTTCCAGACTACTAGACAAATCTGAAGATGAGGCTGGTGCTAAGAACCAAACATAAGTGGAATCGTTGTAAATCAAACGTACTTTTAAGAAGAAACAACATTAGGTGTGACACACACCTGCTGAGGACTGATTCTGTGACTTGAACAATCCCACCACGCTCTTGCCGTGGAAGCCTCCCGAGCGCAGCAGCACTGCTTTGGTCCGAGGATGTTTCCAACACACAGCGGGCAGACGGTTGTGCCTGTAGCAGCGAGCCACTTTGTGTAAGCTGCTATCCTGCACCCCCTGAGGAACGACCAGCAGTCCTGGGTAGCTGATGAGATACAGAGGGGAGAAATCTCACACACAAATGTTTGTCATCGTGAATCAGCTGTTCCAGTCTGCTGGATCCTGAAAACTCCGCCACATGTTGACATTTTACAGTGATTAGTGACACCGGTGGGTTTCTGAGCTGATGCAGGTACCTGCGGCAGAGGGAGTAGAGCCTGTTAACAGCTGTGATCCTGAACTGATCGCCTGACTTGGAGCGAGATGAGCTGACAGTGATGGTACCCAGGCCCATACGTTGGTAGTCACGGAAACAGGACTGCTCTACCAGCTGCTCCATGGTTGACTTCTCTGATGCTCTTAAAGTGCTGCTGGGTGGTGGTTCACCATCATCAGAGACTAAATCGGACATAAAAACCTCAGTTTTATCTACACATCTCTTCCCAAGTCTCTCACTCCTGTCCACACAGACGTGTCACGTCTCTCACCAGAAATGTCGTCGTCTTCATGCCAGGTCATCCTGCTGCCTCTGTCCACCTTCTTCAGGGAGCTCTGGCTGCTGCGGCCCATGGTGATCTTTCCAGCCATCTTTGCTCCTTTGACGATCGTCTTTGAAAGCGTTCTGCGAACAGCGGATGGAGGAGGAGCATGAGAACGGTGGAGGAACTTATTTAAAGAAATAGTTCACTAAAAACAGCAGACTTCTAAACCTTAATCCAGTGTTTCTTTCTTTTGGTTTTGGTAAGATTAGCTGGGGAACCGTTTGTCCTGCCGCAAAAGCAAAGGAGCTGAAGATGGACTGAGGATAGCGGATTCTCTGCAGGTGCTTCCTGAAGACCTCCACCATCTCTGAGCTGACCTCCTCATCAAAAGCAACTTTTATCAACTGTAGAAGAAACACACTTGACTGATTATTCACCAGAAACAACATAAGAGTCCTTTTGTCAGTGTGAAATTGTCAGGTGGCGCAACTTCTGAAGAAAATCACACTTACGATGGCGACTAGAGTTCAAACCACCGAATGGCCTAAACTCATCATTTGCTTGTCTCCACTGTTCATGTCTGGTGCCATGTTGTTAAAATTCATCTTGTTGGTTTATTTATGCTTATTTTTTTTTGTAAAAGAGAACAGAAATTTAAAAACATTTGAGGACTTAAATTTCACACTTAAAAAAAAGAGACTAATCCTCTCTTCCCTTGAGCTTTTGGTGTTTTTAGGGGCGTGGTCTTGCTAATGTCGACTGAGGTCCTAACTCAAGTGGAGGAGTTTATGAGTGAGGGAGGGGTGGAGTGGGATATAAATAGGGTGAATCGAGATGCTGAAGCGAGAGCTAAGATGAAAGGGGAAGCTCTCGATATCTCAGCTGATCAGTGTTCCCTCTCTCACCCGTGGTCAGGAGCTTTGAGTAACGACCATAAGAACTGGATCGTGACTCCAGGAGACCAAAAAAAGTTTCCTCCACAGCGTTAAGAGATCGTGGAAGGAGCTCAGACATCTGACATGCAGTTAGGATGCCTCCTGGGTTGATCCAGGACACGCTGCAGGGATTATAGCTGCAGGCTGACCTGGGAACACCTTGTGGTTGGGGAGAGGAAGATCTGGGCTCCCCATTCAGGGCTGCTTACCCCATGACTCAGAAAAGTGGAGGAAGATGAGACAAGATGATAATGATTATAATCAGTTTGACTTCCTAAAAACAGCTTGCATACCTAAATGTGTTGGGAGATTACCCCGTGGAAATAAAGCCATTTAAATCTATTTAGAAGAGAGTGCTTTGGAATTTTCCAGGATCCCGTCGTTTACCTGAAATGACGCCGAGCGGAGCTGCAGGCCTTCCTGCATGTTCTGCTGCAGCTGGTTCTGGATGCTGATCTTCTTCTCTTTGGTCAGCGTCGACACAGGAAACGCTCTGACGACCGCCTGTTCCCCCACTGAGAAAAGATCAGCAAAATGCCACTGACACGATGGCAGCCGCATCGAACCGACACAACAAACATTTCTAAAGATCCTTCACCAAAACAGACTTTAATCAAAGTGTAAAAACCGGTAAGCAGAAAAGTTATTACTTATTAGTATTAATTTTATGAAAGGAAATTAAGTGATGATCGGGCTTGTGGTGGTCCAGCATTTACCCAGTGGATCATGGGGAACGCCGTTAAAGATGATGCGGTATGAAGTAAGAAAGAGAGCCCCTTCTGCTGGGAGGATGTGGGGACCCCCAAGGAGGCCCCCGGTGGCCTCTTCCCTGCCATCAGGGTCCAACAGCACCCTCAGCCCCTCTGACATCAACTCCTCTCCAGGAAGCAGCACTGGACGCAAAATCTTCGGCTAGCCACAGAGAATACAAAAAGCATAAAATTATGCAAGAAAAATGAACAGAAAGTACCTGCCCACGAGCACGTCTGAGCCTAAACCGAGGCATTCTTCACTGACAACAAAGAACTTAAGGAGTAGGACTCGGCAGCAACATTTACGTCATTTGAATCAGACGCAGGAAATAAATTTATCATAATAATGTCAAATCAGTGCACCACATGGGCTTGTTGGACGAGTTTTAGCCTTACGTGCACATCACCAATAAAAAGAACAAACCCAGCAAACACACCAACCATCACGCAAGCTTTAAATAAATCTGCTCTTCCAAGAAAAACAACTTCATGCTCTGCAGAGAAAACCTTTTCATCTCCACCTTTGAAGCAAAGATGTGTGATCTGCTCTTACAGCCGCTTGTCTCGTTTATCAAACCGCTGATTTTCACATTTTGCTTTGGATGCACATCTTCTATCTGGTTTGCACATACGTCCGTGCACGCCGCAAGCAACATGCACACACCTCCAAAAGGATTCAGTGAACGTAAACTTTGTTTATGGGACCGATGGTTAACCACGTAGCTGACAGGATGCACCTAATTCTTAAGCAGGTCTGCACCCTTCGTTGCTTCAGCTCCTTCTGGCCTCCAGAGCGGCTAAAGAGAAGCTTGTTTATTCCACGATCACAGATATGAAAGAGGAGGGACGTCAGCTCATCCAAAGCCTTTTCTGTTGAGGCCGCAGCCGACCTGAGGGAGCTGAGGTCTGGCCTGGAGATAATTATAGCCTCCTGTATTTGTCCTTGAATGAAAAGCAAGAAGAGAGTCCCAATGCAAATCATTACTGATGCAAACTCAGCAACTTATAACAGCTCCTCACTGTTGCTGTTATTCATCCACAGAGTTGTTTACTCGGTTTCATTTCTTTTATTTGATGCATGCATTTATTACTTAAAAATGAAAGTTTTGTCTCAAATTATTGCAAGGGCATGCCAAAGTTCATCTTAATGCAATACTACTAAGTCTGGCGGGTTTGGTGCATTATGGTGCTTAAAGGGTCCAGAATAGGGATGCAAAATAAATCGGCATCAATATCGTTATCGGCCGAACATATCGGTATCGGTCCGATAAATAAAACTGGGCCGATATTAACAACCAATATTTTTTCCATCTCGTTTCCATTTGTTTATCTGTTTCAGAGGGTGAGGGGGGTGACGTGTATTTGTTCGGTCATGTGACAAGTGATTGTAATCATCTCAGCAGTGTAAATGTGTGTGTAAATAATAAAGGAATTTCAGGTATTAATAATTTCCATTCTATATAAAAGCTGCTATTTTAGAAGCATTAATGTCAGTATACTGGTATTGGCCATAACAGTGATCTTAACATCGGACATCGGTATCAGCCCAAAAAATTCATATCGGTGCATCACTAGTCCAGACGGCAGACATCAGCAACGAGCTTAGAGAAACGATTGCTCATCCATCTGATAACGGTAACCAAGTATTACTGACGAGCAGAAAATATGAAGGACCATGTTGTGCTCAGAGAAAATGCAAGAATCCCAGCAGCTACATCTCAGACTCTACACGTATCAGTTGACCACAGCTAATATGTTCAGGTTCATGAAGGACAATCAGAAAAGAATAAAGTCGGGCTTGTGTAGTAGAGTTTTCAGCAGAATGCCCTTTCCCTGAACTAGCCTTGCGTCTTCCAAGTAATGTTTGAAAAAAACACTCAGTACCACAGCATTTCGGCACGGCAGTGGTTGTGTGATGATTTGGGTGCAGACCTAAGGAGTTTGCAGTCACTGAGTCAGCCACGAGCTCTTCTGTGTAACACAACATTCTGGTGTCTAAATTGAGGTTCACACTGTGCATTTTTCAGTCATTGTGAAAAATAAAAATAAACAAATATTTCATCGTGAACAGAGTCATGCTTGTGTTCGTAATTTGCATCCTGTGAGACCAGCCCAGCAACAGCTTATTGAGCATCCTCGTGACCAAATCAAGCCTCCAACAGTCTTCAAGCAGCTATGGTCAGCATTCAACCAGTGAAAAACCACCCAAGGAGGGATGCAAAAAGCTAGCATTAGCAACACAAGCACCAATGGAGGCTAGACACAAGAACATGTATAGAATTCCTTTTTGGGGTTAAGTTTAGATAATAATAGAAGTGTTAATGCTATAGTGCTTTTTCCCCTCTCATCGCTGCCGTCTTGGGTATCTGTCAGGTTTTTGCGACATATGCTTTTCCGATTTGTATGCTCGTGACATTGGTGTCTTCTTCTGGAGTGAGACTTTGGGCAGTTAGGCTCACTGAAATCTTGGGCCGTGTAGTTTGCCACCTCTGTAGTTTGCACAGTGTGACATGAAAGCAGTCCTTAGCAATGACCGAAAAATGCACAACGTGAACTGAGCTTAATGTAAAGTCACCAAAAGTTTCAACATTGATGCACACAAACCAGAACTACTGAATTCTCCTCTGCAGAGTGAAAAATACATCATTACTGTAGCCTAAAGACTTCTTTTACTCGTATGATATACTCTCAGCTCAGACAGGAGCATTGCTCACCTTCTGAATGGGAGGTAGCCTCCTGCTCTCCCTATGAACAGCCTCTAACGTCTCCATCTGCATTGCTACGATTCCTGTGGGGCAGAAGCTGGGATCAGTTACTACATGCACTTTCCAAGGCCGCTTGACAAGTCAGGGGCTTAGGCTTATGTAAATGTTGGCTGCAGCCAGAAAGGATCTGGGGCAGGGACTGAGCGGCGGTGCTGTACCTGGGATCATGCTGTGCAGACTCTTGATGTGCTCCTGGGTCACGCCGCTCTCTGTGCACACTTTGTCGATGAAGCGTGCGACAAACCTGACCACGGAGTTTGCAGCGTCGCTGTTCTCCGACTCCTCAAAGCCGCTTTCTGTGTCGAAGCTCTCGGCCACACTGCCGGCGATGCTGCAAATGGAAACCGGGTGAAATGGAGAAAGGTCAAAGCATTGTGTTCAGGAGGACGGTGGTGTCCTGACAGAAACCGATTGAAGAATAAACAGTGGAGAACATGAGAGTAGTTTTCAGTTTGGGGTAAACAAAGTAATGCCGGCTGCGTCGATTGTTTGTTATCTGAGGAGAGGGTTTTATATGAGACAGTGACGCAACTTTCTCTCTGGATGGACACATGTAAAATGTTTTCTATGTAGAACAAACTAGTCTGGAGCAAAAATGGGAAAGCAAAACACTCCAAATTTTCACATAAATACAATTTTGGCTGAAACATTCATTCGGAACAGAGAAAACAAAGAGGTAACACTCTGTTCTTGTGGTAAGACATGAAGAAGAATCAAGACTTTGACTAAATTTTAAAAACGGATTAAACTATCAAAACTTTAAAACCTAATATTATGTGTCAGGGTAGGGTTGGAAACCCATTCAGAATGTTTGATGGAGGACACACTCGGTGTTCTAGTCACTGCTGTGCAGAGAAAAAATCCGGAGTTCGGTTTGGGTCATTTCAGAACATTTAGATGGGTTTAAATATCCGAGTGGATGAAAACGAAGCCATGGTCTGCAGGATGGATTTGGGCCGGAAACAGAAAAGCAGCTGCACTTTGTTTGGCTTCAGAGGAAGACATCGTGTAGACTGGAGTTACGCCACGTACACCCACAACAAGCTTATCATCACCTCACCAAGAGAGATTCACAACCTCATGAATCATGAGATCTTAATGTTTCCTCTGATTGTTGTACCTGACATTTTCTGCAAACAGCTTAAGGTACGTTCTAATTCTGCTTGGTTGTCATCATGCTCCTGACCTGTTGGTCACAATGCTGTTACTGCCGCTCTCCCAGTCTGCAGCAGGTGCGGTGCGCAGCAGTTTGTTCTTGCTAGTGTCCAAAGGAACCAGCAGGTAAACCATGAGGTTGGCGTAATGGATGGCCTGACTGAACACGGTGTTCTCCTCGTTCTTCACCAGCTCCTGTTGCTTCTCCTTGCTCAGACTGGGCCACAAGCGCAGCTGCTCCGCTGCCAGGGCCATGGCTGTGTGCTCCTCCTCTCTACCTGCAGCCGGTGGGGGCGAGACGTCCTGCAGCAGTCGCAGCAAATAGTTACAGCTGCTCTGTAAATTTTGAGCTAACGTTCCCAATGTGTAACTTTAGTTGATATTTTACCATCAGCCTCGTGGTGATGCCCATCTTTTCTGCTGGGGTGTTGAGATAAAGGGCTCGGATCTGACCCTGGACTTCGCTGTAGAAAGTGGCCTCCCAGAACTGCTGGTTGGTCCAGATGGGATGGTCTTGTATGCAGGTGTAGGCAAACTGGTTCACTCCAGCAGCCAGCCTCTGTGAGACAAAACCACAAAGTCAGTCACCTGTATGGATATGATTTCATATTTGTCTGGGGTCTGTGTTTGTAGTTTGTTGTTTTTCTAAGTTAAAAGGACTTTATGGAGTTTGGAATTTTTATGCTTGCGATTGCCCCCTCAGGCCAAAAGCGTAACGGCAGCCTCAATAGTAGGCTCGGGCACGAGGCGCGCATGCTGTACGTGCACACTCCTTAAGAAAATAACAGCTGAGACAGACCCTTGTGTGTGTGTGTGTGTGTGTGTGTGTGTGTGTGTGTGTGTGTGTGTGTGTGTGTGTGTGTGTGTGTGTGTGTGTGTGTGTGTGTGTGTGTGTGTGTGTGGCCCAGAGGACAGAGGACAGGAGAACACGCAGCTAATTAATTAAATAATTTGGTTCTGTACCTTTCTCTTCAGCACAGCCGACAAAGGTTTATGATGGGTCAGTCCTCCTGCATGCTCAGATCATTCCTTTCCCTTGCTTGAAAAATTGTTCCAAAATGAAAGTTGAACCCACATCTTTTTTATCTGTGAATTCAATGCCGTTCGGCGAGTCTCAAATAAAAATTTGGGCATCTTACAGTAAAAAAAATATACCATTAATGTAAAAAGTAAACTCTAAATAAACTACGTTCACATCCAGAATCGCACCCGGGCCTACTGCATGAGAGTCCGACGTCTTACTGGGTGAGATAAAGCGCCATTGACGTCTTTTGTATCTGTAACATTTATATCCTTGATGACAGAACGGTTCGGAGCGAAAATGGCTATTTTGTCGCTAATTTGCAGAAAATATCTAGAAGAAAGTAGCTAAAGGTCCTCAGAAATGTAGCTAGGTTCATCACTAGGCGTTAGGAACAGCGACAAAGTCGCTGAGTTGGCAGTACCTCACTCTCTGCTGCTAAAGCTACGGATAGCAAATGCTACGGGCTATGCCTGAGCGTGAACGCGCATGAAGCAGCCTGCTCGACCCGAGCAGCTCTCTTTTTCTGTGATTTTACAGAAAAACAGGCAATTACAGTAAAAATGCCAGGGCTCATTCTACAGGACCAGGGCATTGTAGGAGAATGTATGAAGAAGAAATTTGTTATTTCTATGCATGTTTTGGCTGTCAAACTTCCATAATGCCCCTTTAAGCAATCTTCTGATCGGCACTGCATGCTTCAGACGATACATCATGTGATACTAGCAGCCCAGAACGTTCCGCAACCTTTGGAAAATGAGGTGAAAATTGGCTTATTAGAGAACTAATAGAAGATTGTACAAATATTAAGTAAACAATCACAGCACAAGCTACAGACTGGACATCTGTTTGGATTTTAGTAACACTTTTATGGCGTGCAAAAAAATAAAGAGGTTTGAAATGATGTTTTTGCCTGTTTCTCTGTGTAAGTAAGGCCCTGTCCACACGTAGCCGGGGATCTGCCAAAACGTAGATATTTTTCTACGTTTTGGCCTGTCATCCACACGAAAACTGAGTTTTTTCACACGAAAACGGATCTTTTTAAAAACTCCGGCCAAAGTGAAGATCTGCGTTTTCTCTGTTTTGGGTGTCTGCGTGTGGACAGACAAAACCAGAGTTTTAAGATCCGCAACGTCACTTTCCGCGACAAAAAATGCTGACATCACGTGTGCGACCTGTGTTTACACTAGCCGACAGCATGGAAGCCCTCAGAGCTGCACTCTGTCACTACCCGATCCATCAATTGTCCAAGCGCTTTCTGCTTGTTTGTTTTTGCAAGCGGAACTACTGCTCCTTGCGGAAGACCACAGACGAAGAACGAGGTTAAGAACGGGGAAGTACTGCCGCCTACAGGTCTGGCATGTCCTTAACAACGTATTTATCCGGGTACGTGTGGACAGTTTTTTTTTAAACGCGGTGGTGTGGATGAAAGTTTTTGGAGGGGCGGATATTCGTTTTTAAAAAACCCCGGCTACGTGTGGACTAGGCCTGAGTCAGTTTGCAAATATCTTTTGAAATAACAAGCACATTGAGTTGAAACTATCAGAGTGCAATTACTGGAGGTGCATCTACAGCTTTAGAGGAAAAACGAATCAAATTAGCAAACCCAAAAAAAACTGTAAATTTCATGATTGATACGATTTTGTGTGTAGCTGAGAATTCCAGTGGAGTCTTGCAGGAGAGAGCAAGACGACGCACTCTTTTAAAAGATTTGATCGTATCCATTCAGCACATATCTCCCTCAAAATCCCCAAGATTTGGAACCTATTCTGGTGGAGAAAAGGAAATGTCTTTAAAAAGAAGTGCAGCACATTAACACCACTACCGGCCCATCTTGTAGGCTTGGTTCTCTGTAACTTGACTCCAGAATGTTTCTGTACAATCGATTGTCTATAAAATGTTCAGCAGAAGGAGCAAACGTCAGCCATGTGGTTTTAAAAAGAAAAACCATGAGTCGTAACTTTTCAAACAGATAACCCCCCCACAGGAGCTGCGTACCGCCTCCTCCTGTACTTTGTGTCAGGATGTATTTGGAAGCCGACTTGTTATTTTTCATTAAAGTCATCTGAAAAGTAAATCAGCTGCTGCCTGCAACAACAGCTCCTCAAAAAGGAACCTGGAGTCCTTAGCTCAATAATTAACGTCTTCTCCACACACACTGAGTCTTACCGCAAAGAGAATGAGAAAAGAATGAAAAATATTACATGACCTCAACAGAAGCAGCGTTCAAATAAACGACCAGTCACCAAGCAAACTTTCACCATCCGTCCATCTCCCAGTAAAGCCTGGGGCCACACGTAAGGCTCTGGATTGTTATTAGATTAGCTTCTCCTTTCTCTCCCGAGTGTGACACAATCCACTCGTGTCGATTATCACTTCAAAGTTGCTTTTGAAGAATGAGAACTGGGGAGTGAGTTACTGTAATTACAAGAGACAAAACCAAAACATCTCTACTCCCACTGCGGTGGGCCAGACTCCAGGAGAGAGCTTAGAGCTAATGCCCACACAGCAGCCGCAACCTCTGAAGTCCCACTGGACCAGAGCCTCACTCCAAGGTTCCTAGGCGTTAACATGCTAACCATGTATATGGATTAGAGGTCCAGTGATATGGGTTTGTCTATTACCGATGCCGATATGTAGGAAACATGGTCAGCTGATATGTACTGCCAATTTTTATGGGCCGATTTTCACGACCAACATCTAGACGTTTTCAAGCTTATTAGAAGTGCTAAAATGTCACTGATAACATCAGCTGATGGACAAAATTCCTGAAGTTGAATCATTTTTGAACTCTCGATCTAACGAATTTTTAAATCTTAACTTTGTGCACTGCTCAGTGTTAACGCCAGAAACTTGAATGCAACTTAAGAGTATTTATGCAGATGTCAGTAAACATAAAAATACTTTTAAATTAACTTCTGCATCAGCACCGGGCTGCCCGCAGACGTGCCTGAGTTTAAATCGGCTTTACTAAGGACAAACTTTGGTTGATGCTGATGCATAAAAAATGGTCAACATCGGCCCAATATATCGACCAACCGATATATCGGTCTACTTCCAATTAGGATATCCACATTCAGGGCAGGGAAGTTGCTTTTATAGAACCTGTTCTCTGGTGTAGTAAATGTAACTGCAACTCAACTATTTATGCTACTGAAGCCAAGACTCCTGCCAAGTGTTTCCTGATATTAGTTAACCAAAATGAAATCATTTTTTCAGGAAACGCTGAGTTTACAAGGTGTGTAATGAGGGCAGCTATGATACCCCGCTGGCTAATGATGTAGAGCCAGAAGAAACAGATGTCAATTATCTAAATTACTGTGGAACAAAAGTCCGACTAATTAAAAGCTATGAAGAAAAAAGTGAGCGCTCTATTAGCAGTTACCTAGGTTTTTGAAATGTTTCAGCTGTATTGGAGTCAATCTAATTCAATATGACTGCCACAACTAATCGAAATTAAAGGTCACTTGGTCTGTAAAATTAATTTGCTATGGTCTCTAGTATGAACTAATGCCTTTTGAGTCGTTTTCAGTAAAAAAAAAATGCTCTGGTTTTTCCGTATGAGGAAGTAGAAGTTTTTCGGGGGAGTGGGAGGGAGAGAACGACATGATTTGGAGTCTTACTCATAAATACGCCTCGCCCCTGAATGGCTGACAGCTACGCAAGTCTTCATTCAGCTCCTTCCAGACTGTTGCACCCCGACTTTGGAATGCTCTTCCTTCATCATTAGGTAGCATTGACAGTCTGGACACTTTTAAAAAAACAGCTAAAGACCCTTTTATTTAAAGCTGCTTTTACCTAAAACTTTTATTTTCTTATTTTTAACGCAAATTTTTAATCTTTCACCTGTTTATGAAATTTTATAATCTTATGACTTTATTTTTTCTGATGTTAATCTATTTCTGTTTTGAGATCATTACTTTGTTTTATTTTGTTTTGATCTATGTCAAGCACTTTGTGCTTCTATATCTGCGATAAGTGCTATATAAATAAAATTTACTTTCTTACTTTTACTTAATTAGCTACATGCTTAGGACAGCAGATCCTCACTACAGGGGAAAAATTCCTATTTCTTAACAATTTGTCCCAAATAAACCTAAAATACCTCAAAAACTAAACTTCAGATCTTTCCTATTATGACGTTTTAAGAGAGAGGTGATGAAGCCGAAGAGTTTGGTGTATAACGTGTGCATGGTATGTAAATGTTGAGTCATTAGAATTAAATACCAATATTTTCCGATATTACACGATATACACATGCCTAAATTAGCTGATATTAATGTTAGGCAGATAATATTGGACATCCCTACACTTAACCCATGTTGGCTGCTGGTGGTAGTCGGAGGGACCGATGGCATCAGCGCCCCAGGTCAGCTGTGGCTACACAGTAGCTCCTCACCACCAACGTGTGAATGTGTGTGCATGGGTGAATGACTAGATGTGTTGTGAAGTGTCTTGGAGGGCTGTGGAACCCTAGAAGGTGCTATATCAGATACAGGCCATTTTATATTTATTTATAAATGCCAACTGCAGCTGAG